GGAGATCGAGCTCTCATCATGGCATCTGACCGCATCCCGCTCACGCTGTAAGTCTGCGATCCTGCTGAAGACAGCCCCATGGATCGGACTGGAGGATTCCTGGCTGTCAGCTTAACTGGGGGTTCCCTCAACTCTTGCTGTCTGTACAAAATGCCATGAGAGGAGAGTTAGTGTTTACCTCAAAATAATAATTATAACACAATACATATATGCATAAAAGCCTGAACACATGAATATCTGTTTGTGGTTATGCATACCTACACATACATATAAAGTGGTAAAGCCAAAATGGTGCTATGGCACATGCCATGTCTTTTCTAATGCTATGATTACCCATTTTCTATGTTCTGTAACTACACCATTTAAATCTGCATTAGTCAGTGTACTTCTATGACCAAGGTAAATTTCATCTTAGGGTCCCATCCCATAAAAAGGTTTGGGAAAAAGAGTGATGCAAAAATGGGTCCTAAGGTACTATAAAGGACCATACAAGGATTGTGATATACATATACACAAGCATACAGATATTACAAAAGGGTTTTACTTTACTTTTTCTGAGCAAATATATTCCCCAGAGCATAAAACTACTTCAGTAAGCATTTAAGACCTAACACCAGTCATTTTACTAAACACAGACTTTCTTTTAACCTCTCAGTGATGGCTGATGTACTATCATATTTTATCTCACACTGGATGGCTGATACAATATAATTCTTTGTGGTTACAAAAGCAAGTTGAAGTGCGAGTTATCTAATTTGTATGTGTATGTTTCTAATGCGAATTGAGTAAAAATTGAAACTATTATGATCTTTGATTTTTTGTGATTAATCATAATCTGTAATCTGATTATCAACAAATATTTTCATTCTCTATTAACCATTAACTTTTAACACCATGTAGAGAGAAAAAGAAAGAAAAAGAAAAAGAAGTAGAAAAAATTCATTAACGGTCATGGTGAGCCTAAAATAACTGGGGGGGGGAGGTCTACCCTTCAGCATCCCCATAAGGGGTAAAGGCTAGGCATTTCACATAGGGAATAATGTGCCCATGGCTCCTGGAGGCCATTCAGGAATGATATAGAGTCAGCCTTTCACCTTTTCTAAATGGGTCTTACACATTAGGAATTGGACAGAAAAAGGGATGAAGAAGAGAAGGAAAAGGAAAGGGGGAGAAAAAAAGACTGCAAAATTAGTTGAGGCGAGGTCTGAGGTCCAAGGTAGTGGTGATCCTCTACATTCGGCCTTAGTCTCCATCTCCTAAGCCCCCCCCACAATAACAACAAGCAAGAGAATGGGGGGGGGAGAACTGCTCCAATAATTCAGTGAATACTTATAGAGTTATCTGCTTAAGATGTACATCCTTTTAACAGCACTCATGATGATGAGGCACATAGGATTTCTCTCCTGTGGCCTATTTATGATTAACATTCATGCAAACTATGAAAAAAGTTAGTGAGGGACATCTGTCAAAATTATATGTTTCTGTCCATCACTATATCACCTAATATGAGGTGGAGAGATTAGACCATATACAAGTGTCTTTGCTAAAACAGAGCCAAATTACCTTGCAACTTGCTGATAGGATGGATTATAAAAGTCTGCTTTGTCATTCTTGATTGTCACAACATGGGGGTTATTCGGCAATGGATGATAACGTTCACCATCACGGGTTCTTGTGATAGACTGCGGTCGACTGTTTGATGGAATTTGCCTCTGCAGTCCTTTTGAGAAGTTGGTAGCAGTTGGCTTTCCTTTGACTATGACATCCCCTTTGCCGAGCCCATCACTCCCAGCCACTGTGCGGATCAGTGATGTTCCTTGCATGCGGGTCTGTCCACCAAGGTCTGTAAACATAGATAGCATGGAAATGGTCTTTTGTAAATTATCAAACAAACCAATTAAAAAGGAGTACTTTTCATGAACCTGTTTTACGTTATCTTACTAATTTACTTGATCAAAGCTGAACATTTTAGCAAAGAGTTCTATTATTGTTTTAATAGTCCCTTTCTGGTTTTGACTTCTTCTTTAGTGTATAACATAAAATAAAGAAAGAGAATGTGATAAATTATACTCCTAACACTAATAAAAAAAATAAAAAACACTTACAAGAAGGAAAATTCTCATTCCTCATGTTCTCATCCATTAGTCTGGGGGTCTTCCGTATGACAGGATTCTAAAAAGAACAATCATGGATGTTGAAAATGCATTCAATTAACAATTAACTACTGTGGCACCGGCATTATATGCCACCATTTGAGTAACACCAATTAGACCTATGTAATTAACATTTAATCTCATTTCCAAACTTAAATCAAATAAGAGGAGATGATAAAATAATCCAAATATTTAAAATATATGGAGCAAATAATACAACAGGAATGTAGCTGCAACCGTTTACCTTCTGTGTTGCATTGGAGAACTTCCTGTTCTTGTTGATCTTGTCTCGAGCATCACCCTGCTTTGCAATTTCAGCGAGGCGATCCCGTGCATCTCTGAGTCGAAGACGTTTTTTCTGTATGATTTTGTTTCTAGCATCACCTATAACCTGAAAACACAGCATGGTTATGTTCACAATTTCATGCTTTCATACTAATATCAAACATGGAGATACAATCTCAATACACCAATCAGTCACTTAAAGGACTATCACATATGTTGGAAAATCTATCTAATAAAAGCACTAAATGTTGCTATGAACCAGGAAAATCTCCTGAAGGCTTAAAGATATATAGACATATTTCAATTTCCACAATACAATATTTCCATGTCTGGAGAAATTTGATATCACCAAATAAGTAAGTGTATAAGCCAGTTGTCAGTCTCTTTCAACAGAAGAAAGGGGAAAGAGAAAGGTTACATAAATTGATAATAGTTACAGCCCATTCTGGAATACAATACAAGTGTGTCTAGGGATTTATAAGTATTCAGCCAGATCACATAAAAACATCAAATGACAGAAGCAAAAGAAGGAATGATTGAAGTACAATGCTACACAAACGGAGAGATGGATAACTATATAAATCATTCAGGGACTCTACAATACAACTGGCTTGTGCTCCTATTAAACACAGGTTCCTGAAAAAAGAAAACTACAAGAGAGCTTACTGCATGCGAGGTACATACCCCTTGTGCTGGTTGTCCAATTATCAGATTTGGACGTCCCTTGATGATCCGACCTCTTCCCAGTCCCCCTCCCACGTCCTTTACTATGTTTCTGGAAGGCAATAACATTACAATCAATTAACATTTCCTGCCTCAGTAGATGTTACAGCTTTGACTTACACAATCCTAAAGATTTTATTAACCCAATGCTGCCGGGTACGTACGTGCTATGCCCACCGTGAGTACTTGTTTGATTGTTTTTACTCCCCAATGAGCCAGTTACGAGTACCACCCATCTCGCTGTTTACCCTTTTCTTTGATTTACGAAATATTTTGCGTTATCTTATTTTGCTGTTACTAATGTTAAAAAACATTATAAAAATTATAATGTTTATGATAAAAATAATACCATCGATTTTCATAGCACTAGTGAAAAATACGTTTTTCCCGCCATTTCAGAGCCATCTATCAGCAGACATTTCACAAAAAAGATAGAAAGTGGGCACAGCATTTTCCCCATTTTTTGTTAATTTTCCCCAGCGGCATTGGGTTAATGAAGAGAAAAGCTAAATAAATGAATACATAAATAAATAACTAGTCATCTCAATGCTGCTGAGGCTGCAACATAAATACATGCCATGTCCAGTGTGATATTTGTTTATAAATTGTGTTTACACATAAATAGCTTCACAAGTTCTTATCAGCCACCTATATTGCCTGTTTACCTTTTTCCTTCATTTTCAGTTATATTCATTTCTGTTCCTTAATGCTATTAATATAATTAACAAAACAATAATGGGCATCTCACTGGCAGCCAGGGCATAAGCATCAATATTCATTTATTTCTATTTAATGAAAATTTTCTGCTGCATCCACATCTAAGGTAATTAGCGATGTAAACAAAACATAGCGATAGGCTTGGGGGTAAAGCCCTAAGGTAATGAATTTGGTTCATTAACCCCTTGGTGCCGGGTGATGCCGATCGGCGAGTAAACAAAGCGCTCGAAAGCTGGCGTGCAGCCAAACGAGCTGGCGGCGAGCCAGTGATTCGGGCTGATGTCCCCTACTCACGCGCTCAAAGTCGGCGCGCCGCCTTTGTTTGCTTAACCCATTCACGCCGGGTGTCACGTATATGGGACAGGCCCACTGTGAGTTTACTTGTTTAATTGTTTTCACACATAGATGTCTGCACTTGTACTTGTACTGCCTGTCTCGCCTGTTTACCCTTTTCTTTAATTTACGAAAATATTATACGTTATCTTATTTTGCTGTTACTAACATTATAGTAATTATAATGTTTATAATAAAAATAACCATCGATATTCACTGTAATAGTAAAAATACATTTTCCCGCCAAATGAAATCAGGTAAGGCAGAGCCATCTAGTGTAGAAAAATTTCACAAAAAGTATAAAAATTGAGCACGGCATTTTCCCCCATTTTTTGTTCATTTTTACCCGGCGCGAATGGGTTAAGAGTAGAGTTTTTTGTTTTGTTTTGTACACCCGGTGCCATTGGGTTAAGGCAATGTGTGTGGATTTCCAGAATGGTCAATGGTCAAAACAAATAAATGTACCAGGCATCAAAGGTTACACAACATTCTGGTAAAGTATTGTGGTGAAAGGGGTAAATATGAGTTAACGATTTGGCTAAGTTCACACAAGAAGGGGATGGAGAAGAGAAGGAAAAGGAAAGAGAGAGAAGTCTCTGCAAAACTAGTTGAAGTAAGGGCTGAGAAATAGCTATTTTCCCTCTCAGAAATAAATTTGAATTGTCCTTTTCCCTCAACTAAAATATGTTTACATACTATCTAAACCACGTGATAATGTTACCAGTTCCAAAATAAATCTTGCTGTGTGAAGGCAGCTGCCACAGTGAAAAATTAGAAGCACGGGAAATGTGTTATCGACTTTGATAGAGGAAGTATCATTTGTTTGGTGTTGTGATTAGATGCAAACTCTTGCTACAACTTATCCAAAATTATGCTTGAAACAATGAAAAAGCTGGATGTAAATGGAGGAAGTTTCCAATGCATCCTAATGTGTCATGTACATGTGTTCAGGATAGAGAGATTCCCATTAAGTATCAGGATAATACATGACTTTCATAATAAAAATGTCCAAATTAAAGATCTCATCTAAATTATGAAACTCAATTTGTTTTCCATCATTTCAGTTGCATTATTTGTCTTTCAAAGAGCACAATCACTGACAGTTAATTGTTATGGTGTTGATACATTGAGATAGATAGTTCCAACTGTCAGTACAAGAAATAATCAACAGACATTAATGATAACAGAATAATTAAAGGAAAAAGATCACAAAAAGTCCACTCGGTACTCCTAAGTTTTAGTTATATCTTGCCGTGCGTACTGAGGTAAAGACAATGTTTCATGGGGGTGTTGGGAAGCAGAGCCCCTCCCCCTACTGACCCTCCTCTCAGGGGGATGCCTGAAGCCCAGTCAGAGTAACTTAAATTGAAAAGAAATTGTGATGTAGGTCTGAATTGTAAAGCAAAAACCTGCATCAAAGAAATACTTTAGTGAAGCATTAGACCTAGCTATTGATGAAGAAAACAAGTACCAGGATAAAAATGCTTAACTCATGAGCTACAGAGACCTTGGAAAACAACAGAATACTTTGCTTTCAGACATTTGTGCAAATCAAATTCCTACGGCCTAAGTGAAAGATTCCACCAGTTGTTAATGGCTATTCTACTACTACGACCAATAATGCAACAGCTCACTGTAAATTTCTATGAAGCCTTCCATTGCCTGTTCTGGAACTGCACACAAGAACATACAAAATAAAGACCATTAGATATTACAATCTCAATAAATACTCAAGAAAAAGTCCTAATTTGGATGCCACTGTGGGTATTTTCTACCCATCTACCTACTATTCGCTAATCAGCTGTAATCATTAATCAACGTAATAGGCTGTAATTCGCTAATCAACGTAAACACGCAGACGACGGTATCTCTAATTGCCGCCGGGCTGCCACCGGGCCATGGATGGGCACCGACGGGCTAATTTGTAGCCTAGTAGCGTAAACTGTACATAGGGTTCTCTGCATGATTAGAGTACCGGTAGACTACTCCTCTTTGACTGCGACTCTGTTGGAGTTAACTCTTGTCCACCCTCAATACAAAGTTTCATTTCACTGCCATTTGTGGATGCTTCTAAAGATAAGAACCTGTGAACTCAAAATCACATTTTTTAGGTTTGCTTTTTTAAAAAAAGATCACTCCTCCACCATTTGGCTTTGTAGAGTGGCCGTTTCCGGGATTTTATTATAACAACATGGGGTTTCTATGATTTGATAAGGTGAATGATAATTTTGCCTTAGTACCTGATGGTCTAGCCCCGATATAGCGATGTCTGAGGGCTTAATCTGATGTCCCCACGGGGCAGTATAAATATCAGAAAACATACAAAAAGCCACCGTAGGAGTACTTTACAGATCTCCAAAGTTTTATTGAAATCCACTGACCACCACTTTCCACCAAATGTACACTTTTCTGGGTCAGTCAGTCCTTAATCTATAATAATAATGTCCCCCATTATATTATTTATTTAGGCAGAAGTGCCCAAACCTTAATTTCCACCTTAAAATATGAAAATAACTTATAAAATTCATTAATTCATGTCCCGTCGGCAGCCCGTCGGCAATTAGAGTAACCCCGCAGACGACGCCTCTCACCACTAGCGTCCTCGTGCAGCTAATGAAGGACGTAAACAGTAAAAAGATCGGTTTGTTTTTTCTCCATTTATTATTATGTTTCCTACGCGAATTGGGTATTATTTTGTCCAAAAAAAAAAAAAAAAAAATCAGTCGAGCCAATATCAGTAACTCCCAACATCACCACAATACATTTAACATCGTATTCCAATTACCTTCATCGGCATTATCAAATAACACTAGTAGCTTTGACGTAATGGAGAAGAGGAGTAAAAACACTTTCACAGCTCATTGATAAGATGAAAATAACGCGAAAAATCAAATAACTAAAGGCCGATGTCTTTTGAGAGGCGGAGGGGGGGAACCGCTCTCATAAACATATACAAATACGGCCCTAATCCGGTATAAAGACCAACCAACTGGAACCAAAAATGAATCCCTGTCATGCTGTATCAATGTAGACAATTTCTCTTCCTCACCTATGGCCTGGTTTGTTCCCTGGGCGGATGTTTCTCTGCTTGATGATGTCGTCGAGGCTTAGCTGCGCGGCGGCCATGTTTGTTTATCGTTGGAGTCAAGCGAGAGTCTAGGTCCGTGTTCCTTTTATCTCCTTATATCGGTTAATTAAATTTGATACGAATCCAGAGGACAAAATTTATTTGGAAGGCATGATTAAAGTTAGGGGGTAAAATATTGCTTTTAAATGTTTTTAAAAATGGATCATAAGGACGGTTAGATTTCCATTTTATTGTTATTTGTTGTCATCGCGACGTTGGGGGTCAAATGAAAAACCAAATACTCTCATTATTCTTTATCAAATTACATTTGGAAATTAAAACCAAAGAACAAGTGTAATCAACAATAAACCCGATTCTCTAATGCCATGTGATTTTTAAAGCATGTTATTCGTCATCGGGAGAGTCAAGAGGCTCTCATTTGATTGTTGTTGTTGTGATCCCGAGAAGGTCCTTTGGTCGCGCTCAACACAGACTCGCTTCGGCCTCTCCCTTTTGAGCCTTTTTCGAGCCTTTTCTCCAGCCTTTCGCGATGTCCAACGAGGAGAAGGAAG